TTTCTTCCTTTCAAAGGGTATTAATTCATTTAAAAATCATTATAAACTGATTTAAAAAAAAAAAACTCTTAGAAAAATCTGACTACAGTAGACAATTTTACTGAGGCAGAAGTACAGGGGAGGGAAAGTTTGATCCATTAATAACAGTGTACATGATTTGCTAGTTGTTTTGTGATATTGGGGCCAGAGCTGCTATGTGAATTGGTTAAGGGTTTTTGCTGTTTTCCAGGGACTTCCAGGTTGTTATAGTGGCTACTTATTTCCCAGAATAGTGAGACAGCACATAAGGCCCTGCCAGGAACAATTAATAGACCCACCAGCCAAAGGGGGTCTGCACAGATTCTTTTGTAGTCCACCTTGACTTCAGAAATATTTGCAGGCAAGATACAAGGCTTCAATCAATATTCTACCCACAATCGAATATTTAATGTTTTTTCAGATACTCATGAATAAAAATACTAGAATATGCTTAAGTCCATTTTTTTTAAGGCTGTGATGAATCATCAGGGTTTTAAATGAAGCAACAACAGATGTGGCTCCCTCAAAGTGGAGGGGGACAGTGTGGTCATTGTAAGGACAGGGAGCTTGAACAGAGCTTAGAGTGCTGACATTTGATCAGTCATCTCTATTCCAAAATAATACAGTTGAAGAACTAATGGTTTTATGGCCTTTTCTGATAGCATTCCTCTGACTCGTAAATAATCATTGAAACATCGCCATTTGATGAAATACAGTCTTGTCAGTTCTTTACCAACAGAAAAACAGAACTCTGACCAGACAGGTTCAAACTTTAAAATTCAAAGACTTCCATTAATGTGAATCAGCTGTTGCTTTACCAAGATTGTGACAACTTAAAAAATATGTAAGAGTGAGCACCTTTGTGGGTTTTTTTCTCCCATAAGTCCAATAATTAAGATAATCTCTTCACCCAGCTTTTTGAGTAGCCAGTCTGTCATCCAGGTNGCGACACTGAGGGTTGCGATCCGTTGCCGGCCACAAAAAAAGACAAAAAGGAAAAAAAAAATATATATATATATATCTCCGATGAAATAAATACTTCATCTTTGAATGCAGCATTTGTTACCAGTGACAAAGGGTTTTCTGTTAGGAAATTCAAAATCTAAGATTTTTATTTTATGAGAGTTTATTTCATTTGGTTAAATCTTTAGAGCCTCCAAAATTCTTGCCCATATCGTCAACACCCCAGCCAGAGAGACGGCAGCCACCCCAGAGACGCCATTCCATCGAAAAGGAAACACCCACGAATGTGAGGCAATTTCTGCCCCCGTCCAGGCAGAGCTCCCGCTCTCTTGTAAGTACTGGAAAGACTGCGCAGTGGCTTAAGGTGCAGTTGGAAGACCTCAAATCACTAGTTTCCTTGCAAAGATGAGGAGGAGAGTAGACTTTGAATAACTTATTTAATAGCTAAAAAACAAACTCTAACCATAACCTAAATGAAACTTGACTAGTCTTTGTTCATTTTCAGTACTTTTTTCCCCGGAAGATTTATCAGTGGTTGAAAGTATGGATTATTACTAAAGAAATGTTTTCTTCCTTTCAAAGGGTATTAATTCATTTAAAAATCATTATAAACTGATTTAAAAAAAA